CACCCACCCCTCCCCTGCTTTCCCAGGAGTCCCCATGCCACCCCTTTTTGGATGCAAGTAAGTGCAGGGTGCGCACGGAGGCTCCGGGAGGGCAAAAAACGGGCCTACTGGGAGTTCGGGAAGACTGAAAAAGAGGGCCTCCGGAGCCTGGGGAGGGCAAACACACACACATCCCACTCTTAATGCAGGAGGCACTTTTAGCCAAAGCGCATGCGCAGATGGGGCGCACTCAGCTCATATTTGCGAACCGGTAGGGAAAGTAAGTGAATACCACCCCTGGTTCTCAAGTAATCCCCTCCTCTTTCACTCTGCCTCCCCCAGTGTTCTCGGACTTCAAAGACTTGATTGGGCAAGTGCTGATGGAAGTCCTAATGATGTCCACCCACTCGAGAGAAGAAAACCCCTTTGCCAGCTTGACCGCCACGTCGCAGCCCATTGCGGCTGCTGCCCGCTCGCCAGATAGAAACTTAGTCCTGAATACCGGCTCCAACCCGGGAACCAGCCCCGTGTTTTGCAACGTGGGCTCCTTTGGCTCCAGCTCCTTATCAAGGTAGGCCAGCAACGTCCCCCCCACCCCCCAAAAAAAATCAGTTTGGGAGACACCTGGGAGAAAAAGACCAGGAGGTGAAGGATTCTAAGAGCTATGGTGATGCAATACGTTCGATCCTGACCTGACCTGTTCAAGATTGACTCAGCTTTACGTCCTTCCGAGGTCGGTAAAACGAGCAACTGGATTGTTGGGGAGGAAAGGCTGACTCTGTCAACTGCTTGGAGCTGAAAAGCACTGTGAAGTGGTATATAAGTCTAAAGGCTATAGCGATATATAGATGGATGGATACATATGGCTAGATGATAGATACATGGATAGATACATGGATAGATACGGATATATATGCATGGGTGGGTTGCTGCTGGTTTTACTATTGGTTCGCAACGCGCCCCAGCTGTGCGTTGTTCAATATAAACTGTTCTTCACGCATGCACAGAAAAATCAAAATGGCGGTGGCCCAGTGGCAGTGAGAGACCTGGTTCGGGGGTGTGGCAGGCCTGACTCACTGCCAGTTCTATGTCCCTGGCCTAAATTCCATTACCAGTTGAGCAGAACCAGGCCGAACTGGGAGCAACCCACCTCTGGATATATGGATAGATATGGATAGTTGATGGATGGATGGACGGACAGATAAATAGATGGATGGATGGATGGATAAATATGGATATGGATAGATACGGATAGGTGATGGATGGATGGAAATGGATAGATGATAGATAAATGGATGGATGGATATGGATAGATATGGATAGGTGATGGATGGATATGGATAGATGATAGATAAATAGATGGGTGGATGGATGGATAAATATGGATATGGATAGATACAGATAGGTGATGGATGGATGGATATGGATAGATGATAGATAAATGGATGGATAGATGGATAAATATGGATATGGATAGGTGATGGATGGATAAATGGATGGATAAATATGGATAGGTGATGGATAGATGGATATGGATAGATGATGGGATAAAATGGATATGGATAGATATAGATAAATGGATGGATGGATGGATAAATATGGATAGGTGGTGGATGGATGGATATGGATAGGTGATGGATGGATAAATATGGATATGGATAGGTGATGGATATGGATAGATGATAGATAAATGGATGGATGGATGCATGGATAAATAAATATGGATATGGATAGATGATAGATAGATGGAGAGATATGGATAGATAATAAATGGATAGATGATAGATAGGGGTAGATAGATGATCGATAGACAAACAGACAGATACACAGACAGTGGTGCAGTGGTTAGAATGCAGTTTTGCAGACTAACTCTGCCCACTGCCAGCAGTTTGAATCGCACCAGGCGCAAAGTTGACTCAGCCTTCCACCCTTTCGAGGTCAATTAAAGGAGGACCCAGATTGTTGGGGGCAGGAGGCTGACTCTGTGAACCGCTTAGAGAGCGCGCTAAAGCACCGCGAAGGGTTATATAAGTCTTAAAGGCTATTTCTAGGCCAATTTGGCCACCTGGTGGAGGATTGGCCTCAGAACAGATAAGCCAGGGGACCGGAGTGGCCCGCCCTTAAAATGGAGCTGGCCCACTTCCAGAGCCAGTTCCAAACATTTGGGGCCATTTGATCCCATTGGGGTTTTTTGAGGCACCCCCTCCCTGGTGAAAGAATTTCAACCGAGTAGCTGCTTTCTTTCTCTCTCTCTCTCTCTCCCGCATCGTCGTCTTCCGTTTTTGTGGTCTTCCCCATTGTCAATTCTTGTCTTCCTCTTCTTTTCCCTTCCTCTTCCCCGCTTTCGTTGACTGCAGTCTCTACGGAAGCAGCCCCATCCCCATTTTCAACATCGCAAGTCACCCCCCCTTGTCTGGCTCCTTTCTCCCTTCTTCCCCCAGCCCCGTGGCTCCCCTCCCCGTGTCTTCCCTGTCTGTCAGCCCCCACCTCCTGCCAGCAGGGCCGCTCAATGTCCAGCCCTCGTCCCCACGGTATCGTCCGTACACAGTGACACACCCCTGGACTTTGGCAGCTCCTCCTCCCGCACCCTCAGCAGGAACCTCCAGCCTTTCGGCCTCTCCGACTCCTCCGGGCGTAAGCCCCAGTCCTCCAGCTGCACGGGTCCCTTCGTCCAGGGGGAGGCCCGTAGCAGCTACCGCCCTGCCCCTGTTTTCCACGTTGGGCAGCAGCCGTACCTCTTTCCCAGGCAGGATGCCCACTAGGTATATTTGTAGCTGGGTGAATTTGTGTAAGGTTTGTGTGTGTGTGTGTGTGCCCTGCTGGGTTGCAGTGATCAGCTAGATTTTGGAAGAGCACCTTTAGACTTTGGCTAATCCGTTTGCTTTTAAAACAAGCTTTATGGTTTTGCTTTCCTAATGGCGTTTTGTTTTGAGCTGCGCTAATCCTGACTTTGAACCCGCGTGGTGGTGGTGGGTTGTTTTTTTTTTGGCAAGATTCAAGGTGTTTTCCAGGGCAATGCAGAAGAAGGGAGGGAATATTTTACTAACTTAGGTAAGGTAAAGGTTTCATCGCACAAACGTGCTAGTCAATCCTGACTCGAGGGGGCAGTGCTCATCTCTGTTTCAAAGCAGAAGAGCCAGCACTGTCCGAAGATGTCTCCGTGGTCGTGGCCGGCATGATTCAACGCCGAAGATGCACGGAACGTTGCTCCCTTCCCACCAAAGGTGGTCCCTGTTTTTCTACTTGCATTTTTTTTTACGTGCTTTCGAACTGCTAGGTTGGCAGGAACTGGGACAAGTCACGGGAGCTCCCTCCGTTATGCAGCGCTAGGGATTCGAACTGCCGACCTTTCTGATCGACAAGCTCAGCATCTTAGCCACTGAACCGCCACGTCCCCACTTTACTCACTTAGAGAAGTTTTATTCTGCTTTTCAGCCCAAGAGATCTCGAGATGCTTCATGGAGTCAATTCATTGCAGACTGGCAAATATGAGCAGGAAAGAAGAGATGAAAAATTAATAAAAGTACAATATGCCGCTTGACTATCCGTCACGGTCTTCAGGACAGATCGGGGTGGCCCTGCTTTCCCATCTCGTCGAACTAAACTAAAGTCTGAGTGAGGTTATGGCTTAGACAAACAACGTGCAATATTTGAGACAGAGCAGGAGAAACATACAGACTTCGGAGCTGGGGTGTCAGCTTGGCAACTTGAAGACCTGTGGACTTCAACTCCCAGAATTCCTCAGTACTGGGAATTGAAGCCCTCAAGTCTTCCAAGGTTGACCGTTCTTTGGCCAAAGGAGAAGTCATTAAACTGCATTGGGAGAGAGAATTCCTGGAGATTCTCAAGTGATTCTAAAGCAGGGGTCCCCGAACTTGGCAACTTTAATACTTGTGGACTTCAACTCCTAGAATTCTCCAGGCTGGAGAATTCTGGGAGTTGAAGTCCACCAGTCTTCAAGTTGCCAAGTTCGAAGACCTCTGTTGCAAGCAGTCCTCCTTGAGTCCCAGAGTCAGGAAACGGTTTGGCCAGCGGATTTTTCCATAGCAGCAAAGAGCAATCGCTGAAAAGTCTGGGGAAAAAATAAAATTGGTCCTCAGCCTTGGCGAAACTCTTTTTATCAGCTGGTATCCTCACCCTCCAGCTAGCGACAGGACGACGTTATGTAGGTCCCTCAAGACTCTTACGCCCCCGGCAATCAAGTTTCCTTCCGATGTCAGGATATGTTGGAAGAGACAGACTGGGGTTTTCGCCTCTGCCGAAGGCAGCTGCCTCTTAACCGCCAGGAGCCGAGGTGGCGCAGTGGTTAAATGCAGCACTGCAGGCTACTGCTAGATCAGCAGTTCAGCGGTTCAAATCTCACCGGCTCAGGGTTNATCCTCCAGGAGCAGCTGGAGCATCGCACAGACGCTAGTACGCATGCGTGCACCGCGCGCGTGCACGAGGACGCCGCCGGCCCCATTCCAACCGAGCCGGTTGGAACGGGGCGAGAAACCCACCCCTGGATTATACGTTAATTAAAGTGTTAGATTGGGTAAAGGAAGGCACACAAAGGCTCCAGTAAGAACAGCTCTTTATTGCAAGTCAAGTAAACATCTGGCTGAAGGCGGGTCGGGCAGCATCCCCTTTTAAAGGAATCTGTCAGACCTCTTGACCAATGGGATTAAGCCTCTGTCCCCACCGGAACAGAGGACCTTGGTGGAAACCCCTGTCAGTGGGGGGGGGGGGGATATCTAACATTAAGTGTTATGGTCATGTAAAAAAAAAGGTGGCATAGATTCAGATCAGAGATGAACAATCACTTCAGATAAACAATCTGAAGTTCAGAATGGTGTCTCCAACCTCAAACTGCCTCACATTCTGAACTGAAAAATGTCAGTGGAATTGAGCCATCACTGCCAGGACAGATTGTGTCAGTGATTGCGAAAAGCAACATTTGCAGGAACAATCTACCAAAAGCTAAATGGCAGAAACTATGAGCAGATTATTTGAATTGCAATAATTTAGAACAATGCCGTGCACTCTAAAGTAAAAATGCCAATTGCATTAAGTGCAGATATGTAATGCTTATAGTGTATGCTATCGGTTTTTTAATGCTATTCCTAAAATGTGTCTCTGCAATCACAAAGATCATAGGTGGGACTCACTGCAAATCACTTCACTTTGAAATTTTCAGACTTCGAGCCCTTTTGCTGTATTGTTCTTGCCTTTAGCTTTTCAGTTCTTACTCAAAAGTCTGGTAGCATTTCATGTCTGATGAGATGAACACTTAAGTCTTCACAGATTATTTTCAAGGCTTACTTATGTATGGATTCCCCTTTTTCTATCTCCTACTTTTTCTGAACTTGGATTTCATCTGGATCTGTTGATACCTGCCTATCTACAGTAACATCAGTTGTTACAATTTTGGCTGCATAAATATTACACCTTTGGTAGAAGATCAGAATCAGAATATTAGACATGAAGTATAGAATATAAGCCTTGCATGAAAACATCGTAGTGTATTCGTTACGACCGAGGAGGTTGAAAAATCAGTAGTCCGTATCGAAGAGAAAATTCCTGTACTAATATGCAAGCACGGCTATTTTGTAAATGTTTCACAGTAAATAAAAACTGAGCTTGAACTAATAGGAGTTCTTCCTTTGCTTCTAAGTTTTGTTTTGCCTTTTTTTTCTTTCCCTCCTCTAACTTCTCTTTTTTTTCCAATTTTTTATTTTATCAATTTCATCTATACATTCACAATTATATGATCTCATAACTGATATTAATAATATGTATTTAT